TATATATATATATGAAACTTAAAGGTTATATGTATGAAACTCTGTGTGTGTGTGTGTCATGAGAGCCCATCTGAATCAGTATAGTACATTTCAAGGGTTTATCTTACTGTCTAAGAGTTTAGCTCCATCAGTACAGACAGCAGACTGCCCTCAGGTATTTGTCTGACAGCAGGACCGTGGCAGCGGAGTGTGTTAATCTGTGGATATTCATTACTTCCAGGTCGGCCTGTGGATAGACGCCGGCAGTCGCTACGAGAATGAGAGAAATAATGGCACAGCACATTTCCTGGAACATATGGCATTTAAGGTGAGATGGTACCAGTCTGGCAAAGTTGTTACTTCTGCTAACTGGACTTACTGGTTTGTCTTCTGATGCTGGGGTTCCCAAACTTCACCATCCTAAGGCTCCCCAGATAGCATTAGCTTATGGCCGGGCCCCCTTTTGCAAGATGCATTTAAAACTAATTTACAATACAATGTACAAAAGGATTTTGGTATGGTTTATGTACATACACATAATTATAGGGTAATTGTGCAATTTTATTTTGTAATTTTTTTTATTTTTTATTTTTTTCAAGCCTGGCTGCTGGCTTTGAAAACTGTTCTGTTTCTTATTTGCACATATGTAACAAGAAAATACATGTTAGCAAAGTGGAACCCAGTGGAATTGTTCAGGGTGACATAATGCAAAAAGAACTGCATACATGTAATATTGAGGGAAAAGAAACAACATGGTTTGTTCAACCGTGTGTATGTGTGTGACAGGGCACCAGGAAGCGCTCCCAGCTGGATCTGGAGTTGGAGATCGAGAACATGGGGTCTCACCTGAATGCCTACACGTCCCGAGAGCAGACTGTGTATTACGCCAAAGCTTTCTCTAAAGACCTTCCACGAGGTGCAGTACAGCAGGGCAGAGGAGGAATGTTTGTGAGCTTAAGGCCGCACCCATATGTAGAGATTACCATAAGGATGATTACATTGATAAAGACGTGTTATTGTATTGTATTTAATTACAAATTCGATTGCATAATCTTAGAGCTAGGGCTTCTTTCTGGAGTCGGCATACACAGATGTTCAATCTTTTAGAGAGAGATCCATCATGGATGTCAGTAATTGACCAGATTGCGATACAGCCACAAGAGTAAGCAAGACGTCTACAAGTCCTGGAGAAATCCTAAAACGTCTTTGAAGTTATGTCATCTAAAGTGGAGTTGGTGTTTCCTGTATAAGTATCTGAAGGCTCTTAAAAAGTGAAACTCACAGCTGAGATACACCAAATTCAGTCTTATCCAGGTGGTGGTCAAAATGTAGGAAATCACAGACTGAGGCTGATGAAGTTAGTAAACCAAAGAAGCATATAGCACCACACCAAATAACACCCTGCATGCACTGAACATCCCAGACTGATGTGCTGGAGTAGTTTTGATTGTATGCTAATGAAATAGTTTCCTTCCTCTTAAGCTGTGGAGATCCTGGCTGACATCATCCAGAACAGCACTCTGGGTGAGGCAGAGATCGAGAGGGAGCGAGGGGTGATCCTCAGAGAGATGCAGGAAGTGGAGACCAATCTGCAGGAAGTGGTCTTTGATTACCTGCACGCTACGGCGTACCAGTCCACAGCTCTGGGCCGGACCATCCTGGGCCCCACAGAGAACATCAAGTGAGGCCAGATGTTCCTTTTTTAAACGATGTTTTCTGCAGGTGGTGCGGATGAAATCTGACACCAGCACACAGCTTGCACACACCTGATGACTGTGTTGTTGATGCGGGGGTCTCATGTGGCTCAGCTTTAATCAGACCTGCTTTAGAAGGGTTGTTTTGTCTTGCTATAAGTCATCTGTATTTGCCTGCAGGACCATCAACAGAGGAGACCTGGTGGAGTACATCACCACTCACTACAAAGGCCCCAGAATAGTGCTGGCTGCTGCTGGAGGTCAGAGCTGTTCTATATATAGGTTGATATGTTAGCTCTTGTTTTTGGACTGACTACAGTACAGTTGACTTTACTGTTGATTCTGCATGAAGCAAACTAAACTCATGACTTCATTCCAGTGTGAAATATGACTGAGGTCTTTTTGATCTTCATTCTGTGATGTGTTTCTGATCAGGAGTTTCACACGATGAGCTCATCGATTTGGCCAAGTATCATTTTGGGAAGCTTCCTGGCAGATATAAGGGTGAAGCCCCGGCACTTCCTCAATGCCACTTCACAGGAAGTGAGGTAAGAGTGCGAATACCACACACTGGTGCTGTGTTTTAGTTTTCTTGTTTCTGTATTTTTTTTTAGTTTGGTCATGTAAATTGTCTTTGTTTTTAATATTTTGGGAAGGAATGTTATGCCTTTGTCAGATTAGTACAGAGAAGAAATGAGGGAGAGGGATGTTGACCAGGGACATGTAGGTTCATGGTCAGTGTCATAACCCCTAAAAACTAAAACCAGAGAGAATTTTGACTTTTCTTTTTTTAAAACAACTGATTATTGAAATTCAGACATTAGTGTTTAATTCAATAGTTGACAACGGATTGACTTATCGTTGCAGCACTAATACATGTAATATTTATTTCAGAGAAAATCTCTCATCTCAGTCTTGAACAACTGACAGTGACAGCAGTGACTGTGTTGTGCTTTCGCTTCAGATCCGTGTGCGTGACGACAAGATGCCTCTGGCTCACATCGCCATCGCAGTGGAGGCGGTTGGATGGTCCCACCCCGACACCATCCCTCTCATGGTCGCCAACACACTTATTGGAAACTGGGACCGCTCGTTTGGTGGAGGTGTGGTGAGTACTGCTACAGCCAGTTCATTTCACTTAGATTTCTTACACCAAGCTGCACCAGACAACTTAAATACCCCAAATACTTTTTCAGTGGTGTCACATCGGTCTGCACTACGTTTTCTTTTTTGTAAAACTAGAATTCTTTAATAAACAAACAGACAGTTCAGTGGTAAGCAGACACAACCCAGTAGTTTGTACATGCACAGGTTGTTTCCATCTTGTAACCCTACCCGTTGGATCCTTTGTGAACCCAGAATCTGTCCAGCAAACTGGCTCAGATGGCCTGTCAGGGAAACCTGTGCCACAGCTTCCAGTCCTTCAACACCTGCTACACCGACACAGGCCTGTGGGGGCTCTACATGGTGTGTGAGCCCGGCACCATCAACGACATGATGCACTTCACTCAGATGGAATGGTGAGTGCACACAGGACAGAGGAGGTTTAAGTAAATTGTTTAATGAGATCTGGTGGGATGATGAGTCTTGTTGCTCCCTCTCAGGATGTCCCTGTGCACCAGTGTGACGGAGGCTGAGGTGGCACGGGCCAAAAATCTGCTCAAGACCAACATGCTCCTGCATCTGGACGGTAAGACCGCATCACATCAGGCCGCTCAGAGAAACACAACGTAGTGCTTTTTACTGACGTCACCTCGTATACCTGCTGTCTCCAGGATCCACCCCGATCTGTGAGGACATCGGCAGACAGATGCTGTGCTACAGTCGCAGGATCCCTCTGCACGAGCTGGAGGCCAGAATAGATGTGAGTGGCTACAGTCAAGTTTCAGCCATTAAGAACTTCTCTCTGATTTTTGTAGGAACTGCTTTAGTTGATCAACCGTAATACATTTTAAAGGTTAATGGAAAATGTTTTTTTTTTCTGCCCTTCAACAGGCCATCGATGCCAACACCATTAAGGACGTGTGTACCAAATACATCTTCAACAAGGCTCCTGCCATCGCAGCAGTTGGTATGTCACTGATTATTTAGAGACATCAGTAGAGGCTGTACACTTTGTAGCAGGAACATGATGCTTTTAGGCGATTCCCACCCCAGAACAGCTTGAATCTATCCTGACCATAAGGTCCACCTGTAGGCAGTTGTCTCAATACAATCAATTACTGAAATTTAAATGGGCTTGTTACTTTGCACTGAACATACAGTCCCTTTGACTTTCTGGTTTTATGATCTAATATTAGCAATATGAAGTGTAACTACAGGAGTATTAATAACTAATTTATCTCACAGCGAAATAATGGCTGTGTGCGTAAATAAGAGAACTGAAGCAGACATTTAGAAGTTACTTTTATATTCAGTACTTGGTAAAGTAATTTAATTATTTTGAGATAAATATTAAAATGTAACTTTGCCAATACTGATGACATAAGTGTCAAATCAAAGGAAATTCCAAATAAGTAGCAATATTTAATTTTGAGACCTCTTTCACCATGCAGCAAACAGTGAGCTGTGTTTTATATAATTATAATCTATAATATTTGGACTTGCATCATGGCCACGACGCTTAATTTGTACAAATAATCAAATGTGTACCACTGTATTCACCAAAAATATAAAGGAAAATCATTTGTTCAATGTTTCGTTGTTTCAGCATGATCAATAAAAATGTTATTTACTTGTATAAAGTTGTGTTTGGGGAGAAATGTGTAGTTTCTAGGATATCAGTGTTATTATAAACAACTGTAATGAACTGTAGTGCAAACACAGCTGTTACCAATTAAACTAATTAGGGCTTGCTGCTATTGTCCCTGTTGGCTCATTGGCACCTTCATTAATATCATTGGTAACACCTGTGTTTACCCTACTATAGCTGCTGGGAAAAGGTCTATACAGGTTTAATGATAATAACCCAACTTGTTTTTGTCTCAGGTCCCATTGAACAGCTGCCAGACTACAACCAGATCCAGAGTGGGATGTTCTGGATGAGAACCTGAACAGACCAGCTTTGGTCCCACATTACCCATCAACTGTACAGCATATAAACAAACAGTATTTAAGTCTGTAGCATTTTTCCTCCTTTAATTTTTATTATAAAATAAAGACCAACACAATAATGTTAAAATAACAGATACTATTCTTTGTGGTTCTTGTCATTTTTTACTCTTGCCTGCCACTTGCTCCTGTGCAGCCTTCTTGGCTTTAACCATCTCCACCAGCTCCTGCCAGAGACACACAGAACAGTCTGTTAGAAAACCAGTAATACTGAGCAAGCAATGGGAGAATTGGAGAACAGATTAGATTTTCAACAACTCTACACAAACGTATCTATTCTGTAACTTTTATCTATTTTAATAACCCTTCTTGCTCTGTGCACAGGGTGACAATTTGCCATAAAATCAGCCAATTACAGAGCTGCTAAAGGTACATTCTGATTGGCTGTCTTGTCTCTCAAAGTACTATATCATCCTGGAAGCAGTATGAAAAAGCAATAACTGACTGGAGTGAATTTGTTCTTTCGTCTTCTTATGAAAGTATTGTGATTTGAGACATCAGAAGTTACCCTAAGCAGTTCTCTGCTAGAGTTAGTGAGAGGGAATATGAGTAGAAGAGGGGGGGCATTATTGCACATTAATATGGATAATAGTTAACATGCAAATAGATTTAGTGAGTAGAGAATAGATTTCTACAGGCTCCTCTTACACTGCAGCAGACAGGCTCATGATCTTACCTTGTACCTCTTCATACAGTCTTTCTTGCTTCGTCCCGGGACGGCAGCAGCAATCTTCTCCCAGCGCTCAGGGGTGCTGACTGGGTAGGTCTTCAGGGCTTGTTCCAGAAGTTTCTGTTCCTCTGTGGTCCAGGCGGCAGCGTTGCCATCGCTACCAGAGGCTGTAGGACGACACACAGCGGGTCATTGGGGATCATTGTCACACATCTCCCTACTTCCAATCACTCACAGTATCAGATACACTCACCATCAAATCTCTCTGAGGGCATGGCGTTGTCTATGGAGGGCGCTACTGAACTGTGTTCCTTCTTGAACTTCTCAAAGGCTTTTCTGTTGATCTCATCTTTCTGTAGTGGATCTGTGGAGATGAGTTCAACAGGACTGATCAGAACATTTTAGTTGATTCAAACTGATTTTTTATATATATGTATTTATATATAGTCTGTTGACTTGCATGAGGAAAACTACTTTCAGTTCAAAGGTGAGATCTTAAATATCTCAACCAGGTCTGTTAGTAAATACACTGAATATGTAAATAGTGTTATTCATATGCTCACCTAGCCGTTGTAGATTCTTGGCTTTGTTGATGACGTCTTTGGCGTTCCTCTTCATGCCACTGGTGGAGTGTAGGTTCATATAGTTGGCAATAACTTCCCATCTAAAAGAGATAAAAAATACTTTTAACTTTGTCTTGGTTTTGTGCAGTAGAATTAACAAGAGCTTCTAGTCTTTCCTGAAGTCATATTTCCAAATAACAATACTGGG